TGGAAAATTAACATAAGGCAAGAGCAAGATCCTGATTTCTTCACTTCTGTTGTTGTTTTTAAGAAAGGTGGTATCAGTGAATAGATCCAGATTTAGCAGCTGCTTGGAAAATGTCCAGTATGTAATGCTTTTCCACAAGGACCGCAATTGAAACAAAGATTTAAACCTTGGTAACACAATACACTGAAAGAGTTCAGTCTTTAGGCCTGATTTCCCCACATTGCCTGAGTGATAAGTCATTTCATTTTCCATTCTCTAATCTGTAGTTTATGAATTTTGGACATTATGCTGTGCTATTAGAATACTTCTATGTATATTAAAAGGCATCTTCTCAAGGCTGGTGAATTAGACTTGAACCATAAGTAAAATGACATATTGTAGGATAACAGTGACATTACTTCTTGCAGACAAAACAGTTCAAGAATCTTGTGTTTAATAGCTTTCAGAGAGGTGTATCAAAAGCTGGAAAAAGGCTTTAGCCAGTCATAGGAGATGTCAAAAGACAAGGAGAATTCATTATTTGCTGTACATTTGTAAGCTCAACTAGCATGACCAGAAGGTCAAGGGAGGTGATTCTGCCCCTCTGTTCTCGTGAGACCCTGCCTGGAGTACTCTGTCCAGCTCTGGGGTCCCCAACATAAGAAGGACATGACCTGTTGGAGTGGGTCCTGAGGAGGGCCATGAAGATGATCCAAGGGCTGGAGCACCTTTGCTATGAAGACAGGCTGAGAGAGTTGAGGTTGTTCAGCCTGGAGAAGAGAAGGCACCAGACAGACCTCCTAGCAGCCTTCTAGTACCTAGAAGGGAGCTACAAGAAAGCTGGAGAAAGACTTTTTACAACGGCATGTAGTGATAGGACAAGGGGCAATGGCTTTAAACTGAAAGAGGGTAGATTTCAATTAGATATAAGGAAGCAACTCTTCCCTCTGAGGGTGGTGAGGCACTGGAACAGGTTTCCCAGAGAAGTAGTGGATACCTCATCCCTGGAAGTGTTCAAGGCCAGGTTGGATGAGGCTTTGAGCAACCTGCTCTAGTGGAAGGTGTCCCTGCCCATGGCAGGTGGTTTGGAACTAGATGATCTTTGAGATCCCTTCCAACCCAAACCATTTCGTGATTCTAGCTGGAATGGCTTGTAAGTGCTATATTGACACATAATACAAGAGTGTTCTTTCCTTCCCTGAAAGTTTTTGGGTGCCCTCTCTCAGAAGATGAGTTTAGGGCTGTGTGAGAGGTTGCGTGCTACAGTTACAGCTCATTGCTCTGGTGGGACAAACAAGTGAGAGACTGATGTTGTGCAGTCACACACATTATTGTGGTTTATACCTCTAATACTTCCTTCAGCACAACTGAAGATTGCGGTGATGGGGGCTTTTGGGACGCTGAGTTAGAAAGGCTTCTTGTATGTTGCTCATTTTCCCTGCGGGTGGTTTTGTGATGTAGTTGCTTACTTTGCATGTTCCCCATCATTGGTTAGTGATGGAAGCATTCAGTGCTATCTTCAAAGAGAAATGCTATAACTTGTTCATTTTTGCTTTTCCTCTTTTATAAAGGAAAACTAAGTAAACAAAGCAACCTCATTTATCCATCTGCGACAACGGAATTTAGCAAGGGACAAAAATCTTGCTTGTTTTTCAGTATGATGATAATGAAATCAGTAAAGGGCTTCCTTCCCCAACAATGAGAATATTGAGCACGTAGATGTCTGGGCAGCTGTTTAACTACTAATTAGAATTTTTGTTAATTGAAAATGGCCCCTTAGTCAATATATGCCACTGTCTCTATTGAGTTACTTGGAATCAATTCCTGCCAAGTAAAGATTCCCTAGAAATGCTTGCTAGTAGTTTGCAGGAACTAATAAACTAATGTCATTTTTAGTAAACATTTTATTAAGGCATTGCCTTTCCCAAATTAAGTAATAAACAATTTATTTTCCTTATGCTACACAGCAGAAAGCCTAAGATACCAAGATAGATTCTAAATTTATCATTAGTTGGGGGTTCTTGCGTGGCTTATAGAAAATAAGATATTGAATTTGCATTAATTGAAATGGACTGCTTTCTATTTAAATAAGTTTTTTATTCCTTCCTTCTCCTTGCTAGTTTCATGCAATGGATACACTGCATAAGCACAACTATGATTTGAGCAGTGCCGTCAGTGTTCTAGTGCCACTTGGAGGGCCCGTCTTGTGTAGAGATGAAATGGAAGAGTGGTCAGCATCAGAAGCTAGTTTATTTGAAGAGGCTTTGGAAAAGTATGGCAAGGACTTCAATGACATTCGACAAGACTTTGTAAGTACGAAAGTTTGACACTTTATATTTACTGTTTTTTGCATGGGTGAGTGTAACTACTTTCTGTAGATTTGAAAGATTAGCTAGAGGAGAAATCTGTGTAGCTGATAGATGTAATTAACATATGTATACATTTTATCTGGATGAAAGTCAACATGCTTTGTTGTTTGGTGCCATTCTTTGGAAAGGTGTTGACAGAAGATAATCTGTTTAATGGTTTAATTCCAGATAGGATGTCATGCTGATGTGTTTTGAAACAATTTTTACAAGGATTTTACAAGCATCTGAAAAAGTTCCGGCAGCTTTTCAGAACTTTTCCACAATTTCCAGTGAAATTCATTAGCATCTACATGGCTGACTCCCCTGAGTGTTTTTGGAAAAGCTAGGGTTTCCTTCTATGGTTAGCAGGGAGAAATTTATATTCAGATAGCTTTTAAAGTGCACTACAGGGAGTTATTTTGACATATTAGGTATTTTGGCACTTCTGAAAAGTGAAGGAAATGTTTTCCAATATGTTCTAACTAAACTGTTTTTGGTACTGAAGTATCAGACGATAGGGCAGCAAAGCTTTAATTTGCTGAATACTAATGCAGAGTAATTAAAAGAAATTGATTCTAACACTCATTGTTGGAACTGCTAGTAATTTGTCTGTGAATTGTTTTGCACATTTCTTGGAGAGCTTCTTTCTTTCAAGGAAAAAGATTTCCTCTGTTGTGCTAAGTTCAAGTTGGGCTTTGTTAAAAGGTTAGGATTAGAGCCAAAAGAATTCCGTTATTTAAGACTGAAGTCGATTGAAGCATTTTCACAACTCATTCTACTTGACTCTGAGAGCTCAGAACTTTTCTTTGCAGATGTTACTAATAATCTTTGTGAGGGGAAAATGGTATCATATGGTAAATGTAGAAGTCCTTCCAAGATAGAGTGTGGGACAGTGGGAGGAGGCTTCCCGCTTAGCTCAGCTGTCTTTCCTTCACTTTTACAGTTCTGAAATGAAACACATAATTGAACGAAGGTGGGAAGGGAAGGCTATTGTTTTTCTGAAGAACTGACATTTTAACAGATGTATTATATCTGTGTGTTATTTTTGAGATTCCTAAGGGAGAAAATGTTCACTGTATTCATCACATAAGGTTGAAAATTTCATCATGGATGAAGTGCCTCTCAAGTTCAAGAAAATACGATTGGAAAGAATATAGGGTTTTAGAACTGGAATCTTAATGTGAACTACAATTCTTTATTATTTCTCATACAGACAAATGGTCCTTAGCTGTAATTGTACAATAGTTCAGTAGCTATGTTTTCTAACTAAATGTTTCCTAATACGTAGTATTTGGCTTTTCAAAATGCCTAAAGCATGTATTACAGATTTTGTTGACTGTTTACAAGTTGAGTCTCAAAACAATTTGTGACCAAGTATACTTAAGCCTTGTCTCTGGTATTTATGTAGTAGTTTTATTTTCTGTATAATTTCTGTGTTGTATTACATGTAATTCTGTTGATATACATGCATTAAAGTAGTACAGTAGCGTAATGTGTTGCTGGAATCGCTTAGGTGGTTGTGATGTTCAAATGCTAGATATTTGAGTGAGTCTACTAGAAGCTGTTTAAAATGTTCAAATTTTATCTCAGGTAGATTCCTGATATTCTCCCGCTTTCACTGAATTTTCCTTCTCAAAACACAGATTTCCCTTGCCCTCCTCCCAAAGTGAAGACACATGCACAGATCTAGAGATAGGGTTGCGTAGCCTATTGAGGGCACATTAATGATGAGTGAGTGCAGCAGAAATGGATATGGGGCACTAATTAATCATAGTCTCATTTAGTTAGAACAGGGATGATATCTATCCTTAGACACTTTTTTTTTTATGTTTGGAAAAGCAACATGTCATTTTAAAAACGTCGTTAGAAGAACATCTGTTTTATATATTAATTTATATGGTAGTGGTAACTCAGTGCACACCATCTTGATACAATTCTAGGTAACTGGAAATTTTTCAATTATCTTAATCATTGTGTAATCTTGGGATATCTTAATTTCTCTAGAGTAAAATTTGTGTTCTCACTTGCTAGGTAGCATTCTGAAAGTAAAGGGATTTGTAAATGAATATTTGTTTTTAAGTAATCATCTGAAATAGTCCTGAAAGATGTAGATCATGGATGCATGAAAAGTTTCTGCGAGGTGAGGTAGGTATAAATATGTAGCACTTAAGCAGTGATTTTTCATGAGAATACATTTATCATCATCCCTCTCTTCAATGACTAGTCATTGGAAAGTAAGTACTATTACATGTGATATAAGAGTATGGACAAAGAAGCTAATGCACTGGTAGCGCACATGCTGACTTGCTCAAGTGTCCAGGTAGGATCTAATGATAAAATTAAATCCTATGGTGCCTGAGATTAAACTTGAGCACTCACATAGTGGTGCCACAGTACAGGCAACACTCTCATGTTGCATGGCAGAAGGTGGTTGGCAGCAGTCTCCTGAAGCAGAAGGGTTACGTAGTACCTGCTTGTGTCATTATATGCCAGAGGAGTTGCCTTTTCTGAATTGGCCCATATTTGCAGAGCATGGCAGCTGCAATTGCAGCCCTTACGTGATAGTTCTTTAAAGGGCAGGTTCATTTACTTTTCCAGCAATTAGTAAGAACTGGCACTATTTGACATTCAATGTGCTGCTCTAAGCATTAAACTATAAACATTAAATATTAGTAAGCAAGACCATTATTATAAATTAAACAGTGTAAAGGAGTTTACCTTTTTTTTAATAGACGAGAACAGCTCATTTGTTATCAAATTACCAGTCCACCCTTTGAATAATCATTTTTATGAGCTATTGACTCATCAGCTGTTTTAGGAGCTTATTTGTTGAGCTTCTGCTGTCTTTAAGAACTTACATGAATCCTAATCAACCTAAACTTTTTAAGTTAACTGAATCTACTTGAGGTAGTTGGCTATTTCACATCCCAGGGTAGTAGAATGGAAGAAGACTGAATGTTTTTATGTTCTCCAAATAGAACTATTTTCCCAATGGTAAGAGACAACTGTTAATGCTTGATAATTCTCAGTATTTCATTATCAACAGCTTTCACAAATTTATACCTGTTACATCTCAAATATGGCAGGAAAAGCCTTGGGAATCAGACTTGAACCATTCCAGAAAGTTGCGGAAACATGGCTTAAAGTTTACATGTTCAATTTAAGATACTTCATCATTTGAAGATTTCCTGCTGGTCTGATTCGAGTAGTCCATTTTTACCCTTAATAACCTAAAGAAACTGAAAATTCATTCTCCCTGTTTTTGTACTGCTAACACCTCTTTGCTAATTTTGTCCTACAAAAATGTCACGCAGATGGCAATTTATACTTCTTTCAGTTAGTGTTTAATAGAAATTGGTAACGAGAGGACGTTATTCTATGGCTGTTCACAGCTTCTCTGGCAGTCCAGAGCAACCTCGGGGAAAATTCATGTGCCTCTACAGTGTTTCCTCATTTAAGTGCATAGGTAAATAGAATACAGGATATTCATACTCAGTCTGTCAAACAGGTTTTCTCAGTTGTAAATCAAAGTGTAAAAGGATTATGGTTATGCAGTCCAAGCACCTTAATTATCTGTCTTTAGTTGTAGATGCCTACTGCATGAATGAACATACTGGTGTCACAATCATAATTAAAACAGATTAAAGTATTTTCTAGAGAAATGTCAAACATAATCCGTAGCACAAATGTGTTAATAAGCATTTAGGAAGGAAAAATAAATATGGAGAAGCTAAAATGTACTTGTTGACAATGGCAAGTAGTTGGGGTGACTGTTTCATCTGGATGCTAGGAAGAATATGGACCTGGAGATTGAGAGCAGCTCATTTGTCACCTCACACCAAACACATGTTCCTGTCACTGGCCTTTTCTTGGGTAGATTTCTCTTAAGGCATAATTTACCTGAGAAGATAAAAGGATTTTTGTAAACCGAATTGTGTTGCTATCTATGCAACATCAGCTAATGCATTTGTTACACTGCTACGTGTAAAATGCAGATAGAAAAAAATGCTATTGTTTGGACTAGGGATTTACACACTGTGGTATGCTGCCTCAAAAAGAATTCACAGCTGAGTCTGGACCTGAATCCCAGCTCCTGAAAAGCAGAGGTGGGACCCAGACTCAGTTCCTTGAAGTATCTGCGAACAAGCAGCTTGAAAAAATGTATGAGCTCCTGCATGTTGCGAGAGGCAGCTTGGTACAGCATTCCTCTGCTGCTTTTAGGAACATAATCAGAAGTTCAGGAACCTATTCTTTTGGCTTAGGACATGGAGAAAGCCCCAAAGCAGAGTGAATAAGTTTGGAAAGATAATGTTTTCACATGTGTATTTTCTGGGACGTCTTAAAAGTCATCCTTGTTTCTGTAGAGTAGAGAATATCAGTGTTAATGCATGCCTCTAGAAAAAAACATGAACAAAATAGTAACGTGTTTCCAAGTTATGAAGAAAAATCGCATGAATTCTGTAAGAGAATTACTAATTGAAGTGACAGAAATAATTGATGGAGTTAAATAGGTGATTCATTAGTAATTAAAAATGGCTGCTGTATGCTTAATTTTCTCCCCTAACCTTAAACTAACACATTTTCACTTTACCAATGAACGTGTGCACCCAAAATGGTAATAATAATCGTCATCACCACTTGACCTGAGTTTGCACAGAGATTTTTGTGAAATATTCATTGCCAGTATCGCTCTTGTTGCTCAAGGTAGCATTTGTCCCTAGCATACTTTCGTTTCCAGGCTCCGGGGTGACCTTATAGCGGTCTTCCAGTACCTCAAGGGGGCCTACAGGAAAGATGGGGAGAGGCTGTTCAGGAGGGCCAGTTATGATAGGACAAGGGGTAATGGTTTTAAAATAGAGGGAGGTAGGTTCAGGTTGGATATTAGGAAAAAATTTTTTTCTATGAGAGTGGTAGAACACTGGAGCAGGTTGCCCAGAGAGGTGGTGGATGCTCCATCCCTGGAGACGTTCAAGGCCAGGTTGGACAAGGCTCTGAGCAACCTGATCTAGTTGGAGATATCCCTGTTCCTTGCAGGGGGGTTGGACTAGATGACCTTTGAAGGTCCCTTCCAGCCCTAACCATTCTATGATTCTATGATTCTTGTTTAATGGTCAAGAGTATGCAGAGGTTTATGCAGCACTAGTGGTATCGTGCGAGCAGCTGAGTTGTTATGGGACTTGAAAAACCTGTGAACTATGTACAATAACCATTTTGTTTTTTAAGAGTAAAATCATTATAAGACTCAAACACAGTCTTGACAAGATGATTTATTTTAGTCCTGATGTTGTTCTCCATCTGATAGGCTTTATAATAAAGATATTACCTTCTGTGTTTCCTGATGAAAATGTGGATTCTGTTTTGATCATTTTGGTTAACCATATGGCTTAAACAGAATAAATTATGTTTGAATTTGAATGAGTAATATTGTTGTAATGCTACTTCTTTGTTAACTTTAAGGAAATATTGTGTATTAGTAATATGTATTTATTTGCATATGGATTTTAATGTAGGTATTTAATACATTCACATTTTAGTATTCGTCTATCAACTATACTTGATTTTAACATGTGTTTAATAAGATGTGGACATTGCAGTTTCTTGGAAGCACTTTAATTTGTAACAAATGTTTTTCAGCTCCCTTGGAAGTCGCTGACTAGCATCATTGAGTATTATTACATGTGGAAAACCACTGACAGATATGTGCAGCAGGTAATTTAATGGCTATTTCAGCATGAACCAGTCTGCCATGTTCTTAAAAAATCTAAACTTGTTAAAACATAAAAATCTGTTGGCATTCTTAAAAAGAAACATGATGGGAGGCCTGTGGTAATATTTTAGGCTATAGACCAGTGGTTTTGTGCTGTTCACAAGGTGCATTGTCAAATCTTCTGATGCCTACTGTACATCACATAGCTGTGAAGAGGTTTTTAAGCCATTTGTGTTGTATGCTGGTTTGTAGCAATGTGATTCCTGGTTCTCACTGCAGTATGGGATAAGAAGGAAATGGACTGCAGAGCAAATGCGTTAGACTGTGAAGCTGTGCATGGGACTGAAGAAAAAGGAATATACATTGTGTTAAAGGTGGCTACTAATGTTAGGAACCTTTTCTTGATACTCCATGATAGAACATTACTTTGTCATTACCTGGTTTTAAGAACAAAATAGAGAACATTCTGCATGCAGTGGGATGTGTTAACCCTTCTGATTGAATGTTCAATTGTTTGGGTTGCTCTGGAGCAGAAACATGATAAGATTATATTGAGTACCTACACTGGGATGTTTTAAGCAGATTTAGGCAAAACTTCAGTATTAGCGCTTTTTACATATAGCACTCTATAATTTACTCCTTGTCTGAAATATACAGAATATTTTAATTTATGATACAACATGTAAGGCTGTAGCTCCGTTACTTGCTGCATAATTAGTGGCGATATATGTACAGCATGTTGAAAACAAATATGATGCTGTAATAATTACAACTGTTTTGTTAGATGGATCTTTGGAATTGTTCTCACTTTTGTTACAATGTGTCAGAAGGGTGATTGCTTCAGGTTATTCTGGTTTATTTTGCAGTATTTCTACATGGTCTTTTTAGGGTATGGAAAGTACAGAAAAAGTCTCTTTTACCACATAGTAGAGTCTTGGACTGTTACTAGGAACTTTTAGTTTTGTGGATAACACAAATAGAAAATAATATGCTGTATATAAAGGCAGGTTTTTGTGGATTGGCCTCCATTCATTTCACTTTTGATGCTTTTTGCACTGTTAATCTTTATCCTAGAAAGGTATTGCCAGCAGAGATTTGCTGTGGTGTTTATCAGCTCTTAAGGACTGGGCAACAGATGGTCTTGAAGAAACAGAGGAAAAGATTTTATTGATACCGAAAGCTGTGGAGTAAGGATAAATTGAAGTGCAAATTAAATTTTGTCAACACTCTTGGGTTTCTCAGAGAGTGATATATTTTTTTTTCCTGTGAAATTTTTCTGAAACACTTGGCTCTGGAGTGGTTGGTGAAAGACTGAGACTCCCTTTCCAAAGTTCTCTTAGGATTTCATTATGATTCCATTACTACAACAATCAAGGTGTGTGATGGTGTGTTGAGTTTCTGTATCCTTGCACAGGATTAGGTTTTTTAAGCCTCACATAAGAAAAACACATAGGCTTTATGGTTATCTGCAACTTGAATACTCTCACAAATTCCTGTGTTTTACTTGCAGCCAGGTAAACTTACAACATCCTAACTCAGAACACAGCAATACACCACAGGATTTAATGCTTTAGGCGTCTTTCAGTCATGCATGGTCATCATCAGTAACAAAATCAGTGTAGGGCAAATACCTCATTTCTATCCTGGCTAATATTTCTGTGATCCTTCCTAATGAGAGATCAAAACTTCATCCTGCCCTTGTTTACTTTGTTCTGGAACGGTACAGTTCTGTAAAAACAGTATCTGTAGGGATTTTTTTTTCCCCACCAGAACAAGCTGTGATAATTTCGTGCATTTCAGGGAGAAAATATATTTAGTAGGAAAGTGGCAATTTCAGTGTCATCATTCTTTAAATATCATGCTTGAGAGGTAGGGCAGCCTGGGTGAAATAGAAAGACAAAAAAGTTGATGTGTATACTTGAATATTATGCATAAAATACAGTCTCTGAATTCTAGATCCATGTGATTTAATACGAAAATTTGCTCTTTGTTACCCTTATTTCTTTGTGTGAATTGGCGGCATTGTGTCAGGCGTAAGAAAGGTTTCCTTGTCATAATTGCTACTAAATGTTATTCTTGCTTGGTAGCTAAAGGTGGTGATTTAATGGCAGTGGAGATACTGCTGCCACCTTGCCTTCAGAGCATGTTCCCTTCATGTCAAGGTGAAGGGAAATTGATATGTTAAAATTCTCCATCTATGCTGAACCTGTCTAGCAAAACTAATTCAGGCCTTGGGTAATCATTCTCGGTACTACGGCACTTTTCACGACCACCGCATTATATATTGTTTGAGGAAGGCCAAGTGGCTCATTCCACTGAATGAAATGTGTTCTCAGTATTTGAGTTCTCTTAAAAAATACGATTCAATGCAAAAAAACATCTACTGAGCCTTTGCAACAGGAAAAGGGAGAACATATGGGATAACTAAATTACTGTACTACAACCATATATTACATTTTCCTCTTATTTATTTATTTCCACTGTTGAAAACAGCACTAGTGTAAGGAAATGGTCATTTCTTGGGATATTTTTCAGTTGATACTCATAACAAAAGTTCTTAAGTAGCATTCAGTTTCAAGGGTAGTTGTTTAAAAGTAGTATAGCCCAGGTGAAATCTGGGTTAGTGTTGCTTGACTTGCCCTAAAATGCAGTCTGTAAGACTTGTTAGAAGTAATTAGTGTTAGAGATGAGATGTAAACTTTTTATCAGGAGAAGCATCAGCTCTCTTTGTTACATTGCTCTAATGACTTATTACCCTTATTGTTACAAACCGGAGCTTTGTTTCTTGTCTAAATGTTTTCAACTTCAAATGTTTACAGTTTGTCAGTTTCCATCCTCTAAATTTCAACAGGCAGAGGTTTCATCTCAGAAATTGCAACTGTTTGTTGACAATTTTGTTTCTGCATCCTTTCTTCTCTCTTGGTACTTAAAAGTAGATGGGTCGGCGTGAATTCAAGCTGTGATGTTTTCTGTTGCTTTTAGAGAGCAATGTTAGCCATAGTTTTAGTGCATAAAAAGACAGCTTATACTGGAATGGCATTGTGTGATTATTTAGTAGAAGGCAGTATATGATTCACTTTAGTACATAAAAGAGGAAAGCAATTGCTAAAATTGCAGTCCCTACCACCCCCATCCCAATATTAAAAACATGCTGAAATTTCATTAATGTGTACAGTCACTTCACACTGACGCAGCCATCAGGGCTTAGTACAGCTTCCTACAAACACCTTTACATTTTGATGGTGCTTCCAGGCTGCTTTCCTCATTTCTTTCCCTTTATTGTGTTATTTCTCTTTTGCTCTGATGATCTTGCTAGGTGTGCAGTGAGATTTATGAGTTCTTTTTGTGGAATGTGGCCAGTTTGTTGTGAACCTCTGTGGAATGCATGTTTCCTGCTGACCTGCAGTCTTGCTTGCTTTTTCAGTTTGAAAACAAATTCACTATTGTTTGGTATAATATGGAAAGGAAAAAGAGGCAGTTGTGGAAAGCCTGTGGCCTGAAGCTGTTAAGTGTAGAGAGTTCACTGTCGAGAGCTCTTCTGCTGGGGCTGTGAAATGTTCTCAGATTAAAAACTATCAGGTTACGAGACTTGGAGCATGCTGTTGCTCTTCTTTCTCCTTGCTCTTGTAAAAACTGACTTAAGCAAGCAGAGTGTACTGTGTTTGCATTTCTGCTGTGGCCCTGTTGCAGATAGCGCAGTGTTACTAAGCCTGGTGCTGGTGAGACTGCAACTGCACCAGATGTATCAATGGAAGTCACTTCTGTAGCTCGGAACACAACTAGGCATCTGTGAACAGCAAAAACCTGTATAAAAACAAAAAAACAAACAAAGCCTGTCTCGGAAATAAATGGAAAAGGGCTCTCATATTGCATGGTTCATGGTGGTATGGACTGCTTAGGATTCTGTTTGTCATAGATTGCTCCTCAAAGGTGCAGTTTTTATACGGGAGACTTATGGTGATGGACTGCACAGAGGCAGCTTTCTGAAACGGAAGAGAGCAGTGGTTTACATGAGGAAGCTAGCTCAGGCTGCTCGACCAGTAGAGCTGATTAACCCTTTAACTCGCCTTGTGTCTCAGACAATAGACTCTCAGAGTGGAGTCTTTTGATGATACTTTTCTCAAGGTGGGAAATATCATCCTGGATTGTGAATCTTCCAAAGACGGGATATCAGAAAATAGGAGTATAACAGGGTCGCGATTTAACCCAGCTGGTAACTAACAACCACGCAGCTGCTCGCTCAGCCTCCCCACCCTCAGATGATGGGGAAGAGAATTTAAGGGGAAAAGGGAAGGAGACTCATGGGTTGAGATAAGAACAATTTAATAATAATGCAATTAATAATGATAAAAATAATAGAAATTATAATAATACATGATAATATAAAGATGATAATGTATACAAACAAGTGATGTACGGTGTAATTGCTCACCACCTGCTGACCAATGCCCATCCCGTCTAGCCCACCCTGCTCTCTTCCCAAAGAAGAGCGATATCAAAACTGCAATCCTGGAAGAACAAGAGCTCTAAAAGCGTCAAAGAGAGAGCACTTCCTGGCCAACTCTCATCTATATACTGGGCATAACATTGCATGATATAGAATATTCAGTTGGCTAATTTGGTCCTTCATCCTAAATCTAAGCTCGCATCTTAAACTAGGAGTTGTGGTCCTTTGCTCTGGCTATGTTCGCTCCCAGCTTGTTGAGCACCTGCACACTGCAAAAAAACATGGGAAGCTGAAAAGTCCTTGATGTCTTAGCAACAACTATAAACATCGGTGTGTTATCAACATTCTTCTCATACCAAATCTCATACTAAATCAAAAACACAGCGCTATTCTAGCTACTAAAAAGAAAACTAACTGTCCCAGCCGACACCAGGACAAGCAGAAAAGAGAACTGGCTATTGTAGGAGAAATGAAGAACCGAGTTAAAGAAAGGGGGGATCTTGAGAGGCAGGTAGGTAGTGTTGATCGATTATTGCTAGATATCAGTGTCATCGTCCCCCCCCCCTTTTTTTTTTCTCTTCTGTAAAAAAATTTACCTTGTTTCAACTCCTTTTCTCCCCTGCTCCCCTCCTTAAGTGAACTGAAGTAGCGTTTTGAATACAGGAAGAGAGAAAGAGCAGGGAAATAATCTTTTTTTCCTTCATCTTTTACATACAAACAAATGCTTCAGATAAAGAGCAGCCTTCTGAACTCTGTATTTCTTGTGCCATTGCTGAAAAAAATTACTTAGTTACTTGTATAATATATGGCAATAACTAAAACTTCACATTTTAGAAGTTAGTAATCTACCTTGAGTGAAACATGTTTTGAGTTTGTTGCAAGTATGAAGAAAGTAATAATTTAGTAAATTCATAGATTATCTTCATAGCAATGTAGCTGTCCTGCTACCGCTGTGTTCCTGAGCTACAGTTTTAATGGTGCTTAACAGAGAAGTACATGTTAAGTTACTTTGAACAGTCAGTGGACTTTACTGTTCCCCTTCCTTATGCTGCTTATAAAATACTAGCCTCAGGCTCGACAGAGAGCACAAGAAGCATTGAGTTACATGACTGATGAGGAACTCATCATGTGCAATTTCACTTATTTATTTTCTACTTATTCTGCAATGAGGGTTAGCCACAATGTCGTACATGTTTATGTAGATGTAATTTATGTAAATTGTAATTGTCGTCGTATGTGAGGCCTGTGAGTTTTACTTGGGAGGACAGTATACTATAATTTCAAACTAATAATAAAAATGGAGAACTCATTTTTCATGGTTTTCATCTTGTAGATTTCTGCACTTGTTTTGGAGGCTCTTGTGGAATCACAAAATAGAAGTAATTTAAAGATGGATTGTGTGCAGTTTTATGAAATCTTGTACTTGAATATAATGAAATATTTTCATGTGTTAATTTTTCAACTAGAAACGTCTGAAAGCGGCTGAAGCAGAAAGTAAATTGAAACAAGTATACATCCCCACCTAGTGAGTATAACGATAAAGTTATTTCTTTTAATAATGTACAGGTAAAATTGAAACAGTAACATACATGATGTTTTCTTAGCCATCTTTTTTATAGTTACTTTCTTAGTATTTGTTATATACAAACAGAATGTACAGAGATATCATCAGAAAATGCCAAAAACTCTTGTCGTAAGTGAAACCTTCGTACTTAACTGAGCCGTTTGTCATTGACCTGCAAACTGCCTGTTTTGGCATGATGAGAAATTCTGCAAAAGGTGATAAAGTGCTACGTGGACTGCTCACATGCAAGAAGGGCTTTATCATTTAAAAAGAAGTTTTTCCAGAGTAATAGTTTCCAAATCCCTGTAGCACAACACTTCGTATTTGTGTAGATGCAATATTTCCAAATAAAAGCAGCTGTCAATGTAGTTACATAAAATAAAATTCCCATTATAGTTTTATCTTGTTGATACAGCCTGTTTTCAGCTAGAGACAAGAGCTATTCTGACTGTAAATTAAAGGTAGCACACAGCCTGAAATCTTTTATCTTTGAACAAGTCTTATTAATAAAATCTGTTTTCTTCTGAAGGGTTTTTAATCTGGTTTTTTTTTTTTAGATTTAAACTCAGTGCTATATCTGCTTTTGTTAATGTAGTTTACAGAAACAAGATATAATCTGTCTGTTTGATATTCATAATTTCCTCAAGATTATGAGATGAGAAGGGATTACAAGTGACATTCTTTTAAGCTTTCTGTGGATATATTCTGTTTACATATATGTGAATTTCCCGTTGTTATGAGTGAATGTATAACAGAAGACTAGAATAGCAAATGAAATACTTTGAAAATCCACTGTTGTCTTTTTGATGACTTGTATAAATTGCACACAATAGACCTTCATTTCCATATTTTATACACTTTTCTCTCTTAATCAGATTTAATAATGCAAACAGCAGACTTAAATTCAACCTTTTAATCTTATCTCTGAAGAAATGCGAGTTTTGAAGCTCAAGTCTCTAATAAATGATGCCTTTTTAAAAAAGCTGAAAACTCTAGTATGAGTGTTCCCTAACCCTCTCAGGGAAGAGACTGCTTTAGGAAAACCGTAACATGCTCAGTCTTTACATAATTTCTTTGGTCCATGTGGACAATCCAGGACTTTGCCAATATGTTCACGGTAGGGACTAGTTGTATTGGATGACAAAACCTATTTTGAAATGGAGCATTTTTTGCCCTTTTCGTCTTTCTTAATGTCTGTCTTTTGCCTCTATGTCATGACAAAATCCATAGTTAATGGTAAGAGGGTGGGACTTCTCAAGTCAGTATCTGGAAATTGTAGAAGAGTATTGTATTTAGTACAGTTAGAGGGATATGTACTTCTGCTTGACATACGAGGCAGCAGGCCCTCTTCTAGGGTGGACAGCCTTGTAGTATTGTAGTCAATGTTACTACTCTTGCTCGTTATACTTCACCCAAAGCCCAGCCTCCCCATGTAAAGCTTCATCTGTTGACTGGAATCCCCTTAAATTCTATGCTGTGTCAGGTTTGTGTTAATGCTTGACCCTGAGACTTGGTCTTCTACTAGCTTGCCAAGTAACTTAGACCATATGAGAGCTTTTACAAAGATCTGTAAATTTGAGTATCAAAGCAGCTCTTTACATAGCAAGTCTCTTACAGTACTGAAAATACTAGAGCAGTATAAAAAATTAGTCATATTGTTTAGAGCAGTTTTTACAGATGTCACCACACATCAGAATTCCAGAGTTAAATTGTTTGTTTTCATGTTGACTTACTGGTTAGTAAAATATTTTTTTTCTTTTTTTTTTTTTTTTAATTTAAAGCAATAAACCAAATCCCAATCAAATATCCAGCAACAACGGGAAACCTGCTGCAGTCAATGGAGCAATGGGAGCCTCTTATCAGGCACAGGCCTCACTAATAGGTCGGGCTTGTGAAAGTTGCTATAGTAAGTAAATTTTTAAAAATAATTTTAATAATATTATTAATTTTTCATCTTAATATGCACTTTTAAAAAGCAAATGTATGTACTTTTGATTGAATGCTATAAATAGAGGATAATTTTCAATGAATTGCTTAGCAGAAATAACTTAAGCTAGAGTTGGCTTCAACATGTTGATCGAATGTTAATATTCAAATCCACTTCTTTTTTTTAGCAATTCTGAAAGTACGATTGAAGTATTTTGTGTGTTTCCGGTGGACTTCTTGAAATAGCAGCTTTTCACATAGGTTGTCTCAGAGAAGATGTAATAAAATCCAGAACTGGAAAGAATTGAAAAGGCCTACCACATGAGAGTTCTTTACTTATGGCTTGCTGTGTCTAAAACACCAATTAAATTAAAATCATATTCTTCATGTAAAAAAGTTCCAGTTGTATACCTTGTTGTTTTCAAGACGCATTTTTGTTAAAGAATTGTTTTGTTGTGAAAAATTACAAAAGGAAAACAAAAAAGGTTAAATTAATGTTTCTTGCTGAGCCTCCACTTGCACAAGATAAAGGTACATGTGAATCTCCTAGGTCAGTAGAAATGCTTGTCCTTTTCTCATATGGATCTTGACTTGCAAATACTCACTTTGCATGACTTGGGCAAAAAATCCAGATCTTGAGTAATTCTCATAACTAGCAAGCAACTCAATAAGCCTGTCTTCCAGGGAAAGATTGGAAATAGATAGTGGAAGATGTATAGAGTTTTGATTTTTGGTTGTTCTTTTTTCTATTTGGGGTTTGGTACTTTTTTTTTGTTTAGATTTTTTTTTTTGTTCCTTGGAAGAAAAATCTCTTCTTGGCAATACAAAGTCCCTCTTTCGAAATTAAGTAGAGAAGTATTTTGAAATTTTCCATTTGGAGTTGACTTTTGGGGTGCTTTTCTTAAAAAAAAAACCACTAAAAATCCAAGTTCTTATTTTCTCCATGTGAAATTTATTAAATATTTATCCATGTAATGCTCTTAGGGAGTGCCATCTATTGCAGCATTTGGTTTTATTATATTGACATGCACCATTTTAGCTGTGCTGTTCTTTCCTCCTCAGCTCCACAGTCTCACCAGTGGTATTCTTGGGGTCCTCCTAATATGCAATGTAGATTGTGTGCGTCTTGCTGGATTTATTGGAAGAAATATGGTGGCCTGAAAATGCCCACACAGACAGATGAAGATAAACTATCTTCCAGCCAACCTACAGAGGTAGGATTACTTAGATAAGATGAAATGAAGTGTGGTGCTTTCACAAGACTGCTGTGATTTGATTATTTAATAGAACGTTTTTTTTATGTATGTGTTCGACTTTGTGTGTTTCAAAACTTAATTTATTAATCCTTTTCCTGTCTTTAGTAGAACCGAACAGTATGCAGGTCCTGCCATGTCTTTATATGATTGAGTCTTAGTTGAACATCCACTTCATGCATTTTTGGTGGAAAAATGTCATCTTGTCAATCAAATGAGGTGTTCTCTATAAAATGTTAATATGACTATACTATATCTCATGTAGAATGGCATTATATATCCACTCACAATGGAGCTCTCTGCTGTATTATACAGCTTCTTGCATAAGCCCCAGGTTTTTTGTATAGTGCTTATACACAGTGTTTGATTAACCGTGTGAATTTATCCAAATTGTGGATTTTTTTTTTTAATCTTATAATTCAGATGTATGTGTTATGATTTTTTTTTGTTTTGTTTTATTTTTATAGGAACCCCATGTTAGAACTCATATGTCCCGGCAGGCCACACAGGGAACTCCAGTTCGTAACACTGGAAGTCCAAAGTCGGCAGTGAAAACACGTCAAGCTTTCTTCCTTCACACAACGTGTTGGACAAAATTGGCCCGTCAGGTCTGCAAAAATACCCTCCGGCTGCGGCAGGCAGCAAGACGTCCCTTTGTCCCTATTAACTGTGCTGCCATTAAGGCAGAATGTAAGATGTTTTTTTAATTCTTAGTTCTGTGTGCTGTGCTTCCCACCCATTTTTGTCTTTTAATTTTATTTTCTTTTTCAATAAACATTTCTTGTCTATACGCTTTTGCTTTTCATTTTTTCATTTGTCCAGCATATCACCAACACATTGGATAAAGTCTGGCTGCCTTGAACTGATTTCAGGCTGGGGAAACATTTTGGATGAATTAAAAGGGGAAAACTATTACCTCGTTCACTTACAAAAAATTGTCATTAGAAAAAATTATGGGGCAGGGAGGAGAAATCAACGCTGTAACATAAAAAACATGCTTCCTACTAGGCAGCATGAAAGAAATTCACTTTTATGTGTTCGTTTATTCTTTCACTGAACAGAAAGTATAGATCTGTACATGTTTTACTTTTTCTCAGCAAGGTTGGTGAAGGAACAAGGAGCTGAGGATGCATTGGAATTTAAAACTGTCCTGTTATACAGCCCTTTGTTACTGTGGTGATCAGATGGTGATTATAGCTGTATATATTATTTCATCATAGTTGCATCTTTTTTTTTTGTCATCTGTTCCAGGTGAAAATTTTAGTTTTAAATAAAATTCTACATTACGCTTGTTCTTTTTATGGCCAAAATGTAAAGAACAGATGAAGTCACTGGTAGTATGACAAAAGATTATGAGTTGTTGTAGATAGCAACAGTAAGTCTCTTTATGGGCATATGTGTGTAAGTTCTGCACTGTGTTGTTTTACTGCTGACGCTCTTGGTTATGTTTCAGTCTTCCATAGATGCAGTTCTTGGAGCAGACACTTGGTATTCCAACATGAGCTGTGCTGGCTCATTGTACTGTCAATTGTATTAGAATTGAAGAAACCTTTTCAGAATATTAGATATTGGTTTTATAACCATGTTTACTAGATGAGTGCCAAATGTTTTCCCAGCATATTTAACTGGGATACCGATGATGTCAGTGTTGATTATAAAAAATTTGCTCCATGGCGGCTTAAAGTCTGGTTTTGAGTAATTATTTTCCCCTTATGTACTTGAAAACCGGCCATTCTTCACATGCAAACTCTTCACATACTTCTGCAGTAGTCCAGAAATTGGTGAATTTTTCTTGTCTTTTATTGTCCTTGTCTTATTTATTTAGTTGTCCTGTTGGCCATTTCTTTCTTCTTTCACAGCTGTGCAAGTCAGGAGCAACATTCAGATTTAAGGAAACCATATGTCCACTATGTGAATAAAATGGGTTATACTTTATGGAAGACGTGTGTCTAAATCTGGACTGGGATTGTATTTTTAACCCTTAATACAAAATAAGAGTTATTTTCTGAGAGGAAAGAATTGTACCTCTTAATTTATGTAATTCATACTGATTTCTGCAGAATCATGGAGCAAAATTAATTTTAGAAGTTCACTTGAACCTTGAATCTTTTTGTCCATATCCCTATTTCTTCTCAATCACTGCAGTAACTTGATTCGAAAGAACATGAAGCTTTTGTTTAAGGAAGAGATAAAAATAGAAGAAAAAAAGTGTTTCATCCAACTGTTAATCATCATACTAGAACAAGTATTATACACACAGTTCAACTTTAAAACAAAGGAGTGAAAAGCCAAGCTTTTCAGCAGAAAATAGTCATTCTTGTATCAGACTGACAGTGCTGTGAGTGCTTCCTCTTTGTTCCTTTGAATGAAAAAGTGCCACAGCAGATTAACATCAAGAGCAGATTTTCTCTTTTCCTGTGGTCTGTCTTTCATTACTCTTTTTGCTTAAAGCAAAATTTGGACCTTGCAATTTTATCTTTTTGAAGGCTGATGCTTCCTGATTAGACCTAAAATAGATTAGGTGAAAAAAAAAAAAAAATCACAGTTGTCAATGCTTTTTGAACACAACATTCAAGTTATTTTGCAATAGTGGAAACCAGATTATATCTCATTGAATTAATTTAACTCGTGTTTCTCTGTGTGTACACACAGACACATACTCTTTCTGGCCGTCTCTCTCACTGTGGAATCATACAGTGCTTTTGCCTGCATTGTCATTGTCATATCCTTACCCTAGTAAAGCCTACTAAGTAAGTAAATAAAAAAGTTGTCTTCTGATTTTGTAGCTGTGTTTATATCTGGTGACCTGTGCTCAGTGCACTCTGTAGATTTTAATGTTATAACAATAGGCTCTCTCTTCCTGAATGCCTTGAATCCTTTTCAAGGATAGCTTGATGCAAGTAGTTTTTGATTTTTAAATGAGGTATTTCATTAACAGTAATGATTTATTACGTTGAACACCAGTGAGTAATTATAATATCGAATAGATGCCTCTGTTGGTGTTACAGAACTTGCAATGGTGCTTAGATAATAACCTTGCCAGAGTAGCAAGTCACCCATGACGTGATATGGTGTGAGATGGTTAGCACGTCCCAAGAACTGGTTTGGAATTTTTCCATGTTGGTGTGCTGAAACTTGAATGTAATGGCTGCTTAGATGCATTGTCAGACACACCTGATTCTTTGTGCGTGCCAAACAGTGCTTGAAAACGTAATGGCATTTCACAACTATATTGCAATAGGCACTGTACGAACACTCAGAAACCATGAAGTCTAAAGACAGAAGGATGGTAGGGCGCTTACCCAGCAGCCTATCAAGTTTTATGCCTTCTTAGTCAAATGCAATTTGTTGAAGTGCCAGGTTGTAAATGAAACTAATTCCCAGTTCTGAGAAGGAAAGTCTGAAAAAGCCAGTCAGAGCTTGCTCATAAAATAAATTGATTTTTGCAGTCCACCTGAACTCATCTGCAGATACTTCTTTCGTTTTGGAGGGGCATGGAAACCTCTGAGAATGCTAATCTCAGGCCCAACCATCTTTTAGGTGAAACCAGATTTCAGAGCATTTTTTTATTATTGTAATTCCACCCACATTGTCTCCCTCAGCCCATTACATCCACCGGCAGAAAACAAGGTCCTATTCTGTGTTCTTCATTCCTTCAACTAGTGCAGAGAATTAGATTTTTCTCATTAGCGAACCATATAGCATGACCCCTGCTCAGATGCCAGCAGGAGGTAGTGGAGTTGATGCATTTACATCCCCGTTCAATCTAGGGATGGTCACCAGGAGGTTGAGAAGGCATGGCATCCCCTGCTAGGAGCACAAACCGTTGTGGAAATCTCAGACTTTGTTTTGCCTGAAGATAATAGACTTGCTGTAGTTGGTGACAATAAAATTGCCTGATGGATTTTCAGGAATAATTAGAATTGGTGAACTGTTTCAGTAAGAGGAAATTCCCATGCTCTAAATTAGGCAAAATACCTTCTTTTTAGTTTGAATATATTGCGTGGTTTTTAGAAAGTTAAGCAAAACTATCCTGTCCATGAAAGGTCTCTTAATTAGAGGAAACCAAAGGGACATTCTTCTCCAGACAGTCACTGACATGGTTGGATCTGCCTCCAGCTTACAAGCATGTTGATATATGCTCAGCAGTGAGCCGTGCGTCTATGAACTGTATCACTTCAGCACAGGAAGATTTTTTGAAGGATTTTTATTTTTTTCCCTGCTCAGATATCATTTTATCAATATAACTATATATATATATTAATTATAGTAATTTAAATTCGGGTAACTACATTCTGTCTATGTAGACATGATTGTCAAAACGTTTTCGGTGGATGGTAATGTGTTATCTGTATAATGTATGTATAGTTATCTGGAAATGGGTATACTGTTTGTCATCAAAACACAACACACCTTTAAATCTGCGGATTTAATAACAAGTTAGGTATGCAGTACTTGCTTGTTATGCTCTGGTCTGATGAAACAAAGATGAGTGAAAATTAAGTAGAATACACAAAGATCTTGTTACTGATTTGTTTTTGTAAGCATGCAGCCTATGTTTTATTGACACAAAACTATCCGTTCATCTGAAGTGAGTAACATTTACAGGTATTGAGTCACAAATAACTTTTATATTCTTGATTTTGATAGCTATGGAGGATCTTTCAGCTACATTGAGGATGAAAATATTTTCTCTGCTACTATCTTTGAGTATAATGTGTGCCAGATTTTAGTAACCAGTAAGATAATTACAGGAACACACTACGTTTTTCCGAAGTTTCTAAGAACAGAATTCAGGGAATGCACAGAGTTCAGTAGATTCTTTAGATAATCTGAATTTTGAACGAGATATGATGCCATATCAAAGAGAAGTGACTCCCTGATGAGAGTCTCTAAGCTTGAGACCTACAAATCTAGTTTTAAAAAAGGAAATAATTAAAAAACCCTTTCAAGTCTAAAAGAACAAACTTAATTCGCTATTATCTTCTCCATAGCATTCCTGATTTTGTTAACTTCTGTAATATCCACAGCAGTCATCACTTTTCTAGGTTGAGAACTTGGATCTGTTTCGAAACTCATAAAGGATCCATTTCGCACTATGGATTGTAATGTTGTTCCCTGGAGTTTTTCTAATTGTACTGTGTACTTTTTAAGGTTATGGTGCCCCAAATTACATGCACTTCAAGGTATGAGTTTCCCATCACTTTAGAGAGGGTTGCTTGATGTTTTCTATTTCATCCCATCATCATCATCATTTCTAATATTCTAAGTTCTTTTTAAGTGACTACGCTTGAGTTTTGTTTAGATGTTTTTAGAAAGCTGTTGACACTGACTTCATGAATTCTTTTCTGGGTGGTGGTGGTTTACACCCATCGTTATATGTTACAGTCATTTTACCCCTTAAGAATTAATGTACATTTATTGCTTGATCCTGCTGATATCCTTTGCAATCAGTTTTAGCTTTGATTATGCTCAGTAATTTCTTACCAGGAAACTTTAATAATAATCGCCTCTTTTCCTGATCTTTTATGTGTTGAACAGCACAGATCCTTTGGGGATTGCATAGACAATTGATTTTAATCAAGTGATAATCCCTGAAAAAACCTTCTCTTTTACCCTGTAACAGCTGGACAGCAAGGGTCTTTGGATTGAAATGCCAAGTTGGATGCCAGATCAGCTGCATGTGTACATGTCAATTCCTTCAGCGGATCCTGACAGACTTGTGACACTTGCAATCACTGGTTTACAGGACATTTACAGGACATGTAGGTAGGAAGGGACTTCTGGAGGTCTCTAATCCCACCCCCTATGTAAAGTTCGTGTGCCTATGGGTCTTTTGTCCAGACGAGATTTGTGTATCTCCAAGGATGGAGACTCCATGGCTTCTCTGGGCACCTGTTCCAGCGTTTGATCAACCTCACAGTAAATAATCATTTCTTCACTTCTGACGAGAATGTCCCACCTCCCAGCTTGTGTCTGTTGCCAGAGACGGCAATAGTATGTTGTCTCGTCCCTGCGTACCACTGAGAAGGGTCTGGCTTAGTCTTCTCTATGCTCTGCCGCTGGGTAGTTACGGGTGATACTCGGATCTCCCCTTGACCTTCTCATCTCAAGGCTGACCAGTTCCCTCAGACTCTCCGTGCATGTCCTGTACTCCAGCCCCCACCCAGCTTGGTGACTCTCCAATAGCTGGACTTACTCCAGTATGTCCCTGTCTCTTTTGTAACAGGGATCCCAGAACTCAGCGTGGGATCTGGACGTGGTTTCACAAGGGCCACAGGGAAGGGTTGCCTCGCTCGCCCTCCTGGCCACGCTTGGGCTAGTAAGGCCCAGTATGCCGTTGTCCTTCTTGTTGCAAGGGCACACCACTGAATAGTGTGAACACATTAAACGTGTTTTCCCTTTACAAGGCCTTTGTTGGCTCCCTTGATGTTTCCATGTTTAACTCTATGCCTCTATTAATAGTTCAGCCATTTTTCCAGTCTGCAGACCTACTTAGTGAAGAATGTTATCGCATTTTCTGTGGTTTTGTTCTCCTGAACTGAGACCAGCTTAAAGCATTAGTTAAACATCAGTAGTGTACGTATAGAGCAATTTCTGTTTGGATGAATTCCACCTGGTCCTAGTAACTTGTTTTTATTCATTAACCCATTTGTTTTGGTATATTTCCTATGGAAACTTTGGTGTGACACAGTTCTTACACTTACCTCGTAAGATGATTTTGGAAGTGAGCTTTAAGTTCTTCTGCAGTGAACACTGATGCAAAGAATGTATTCAGCTTTTCTGCCATGCCTTTATCTTTCTTGTATATTTTTCTCACACCTTGATCATGTATTGCTACAGGCACTAGCACACTTTCTGCTTTTGATATGTTTTTAAAAATACACTATCAAACATAATACTCCTTTTTTAAAATTATTTTTTTCTCATAGCTTCCACTGTTTCACTGATCTTACCAAGATTTTTATTGTTCATGTGGAAACCCATACTTGATTTTAGGGCTTGTTTTGAATTTTGTTTTTGACAACTTCCTACCTAAATGTTTTGTGGTTTTACATATGAGAGCGATGCACAGTCTAACTTTAGTGTTTTCCTGTATGTAGTGCATAAAGATCATAAACTTTATTTTACTTTTTGTAAGAGTACCATTTGTGGATTAAAGTTTGCTGCTGTTAAATATATTTAACTGTTTTAATAGATAGGTGTGCTTTGGAATACCCACCTGGTACCTTTGGTGAACATGCTTTGCCTCAAGCATGGAAATTGTGCTCTCTTTGCCGTCTTTATTCTCAGTCAGCATATTAATATCTTACCATGATTCAATGTCTTTTTTTTACAGTGAAGACATGTAGATGGAAAATTTTCTTGCTAATTACTTCTTAGATGATGCTTTGCTGCTCCCAAAGTAACTATAAAATACTCACTGTGTAGTCTGTGCTTATTCTACTAAGGGAGACAGTGGAGACACATCGTTCTACTCTGTCACTTAAAATGTTTCAAGTGTTGTGGAATGTTAAAAATATTTCAGGCACTAGGTTGAGAGCATTTTTTTTTCACTGAAAACTGTACATTTTGTTATTAGGATAAAATAATAAAGTACTTTGTGTATTCAGCATTAGGGCTCTGGAATCTTTGGGCTGCCCAGATACCAGCTAGCATTTACAGAATTTCAAGTAAATTCCTTAATATATTGAAATAAGTTGTGCACTGTCTGCTGCCTTGAAAACATCTGTGAACATTCTGAATTACTTATTTCAGTCATTGCAGTAGTTTTGTGACCTAAATGGTTTTTGCATGGAGCTAGATAGAATATATGAAGAGATTGTGTCTTATCCTCCTTGTGTGACTATGTACTTCGTCTCGTGTGGTGGAACGAAGCACACAGAAACGTTTTGGGAAAACACAAGATGTAGACAAAGTGGAATTACTATTATTATTCTCTATTTATAACTTCTAGCTCCTGTAAAGCTTGTTAGAAAATGTAGATCTGCATGTGCTTATGTGAAACCTATACGAAGGTGTACATGTAGGTATGTAACATATGAGAAGTAACTCTATATAATATATGGGAAGTAATTCCATGTGAGTGGATTCTAGATCTACACAATCAACATGTGAATGCAATTTTGTACAAAATAGAATATCTGTGTTCTGGGGTTACTGGAAGCCCTGTATGGGGATTACTTGATTACTTATGTGTTTTTGGAAGACAGATAACCCAATCATTCTGAGTAGTTTAAAAAAAAAAAAAAAAAAGGTATAGTTCCAGTAGTCTTGAAACTATTCACTGAAACCCAGCGTTTTGTGAATTTTTGCCTGAGGTTATTGACTCCACTGTCCAAGTGTGAACCTCTTCATAGTAACACTTTTGTGTTTGGGGCATTTAGACAGATTCTCTGCCTGTGTATTTGCAGTGATTTTAAAGGTGTTAGTACGTAGTTGTAGCATCAAATTTAAGGTAGTTACTGAACTGCTTATTTTCATGTACTTTGCAGGAAATTACGATCTTTGAGACCTTTGAGCTCTATTATTATGGGTTATAACTGAGCACTTTGTTCAAAAGTTTGTATTAAAGGGTTTTTTTTTGGTGGTTTTTTTTTTTGTGGGGTTTTTTTGGTGGCTTTTTTTTTTAAGCTTCATCTTGCCATAATAGCCCCTGTGTTCTGCTTTACTTAAGAATTACATGAATCACCGTACTGTGTGAGTAAGACATGACAGAAAGCAGTAGTCCCAACTTTAAATCCTCCCTACCTCTATATTACCCCGCTTAGAGCCAGGCAAGCTTGTAGAAAACAATGAAGAATTCAATGGAAATTGTTTTTAATAGCCAGAGCTGCTTTTATTTTAGTACTCATGTTTTCATCTGTGTTTCATTTGCCTAGCTGTCTTCAAAAAGAAGTTGTAAGCAAAAAATGCAATCAAATCTGTGTTGGAACTTACATTGATTTTTTAAAATAACAATAATTAAAAAAAAAGAATCATAACATCACTTGCATGAATGAGGACATGGCCAGGCTTTAACTATCCATCATTGTTGGTGTTGATGAAAAAGAAAAACAACATTTGCTAAAAAGCAAAAAGAAATTTGTGGTAAAAATGCAAGTCAGAAACTGGTTGGTGTGTCCTAATTATATTTGTAATGGTAAAATATTTAAACTGAGTTTTATTCTTTAAAATTCTCAGATGCAGATCGACATTGTGAACTTGCTGGAAATCCTCTGAAGATAAAAAGCACCAGAAAACCACTGTCATGTATCATTGGGTATTTAGGTGCGTATCTGCCTCCAGAGAATAACAAACCAAATGAATATTCAGTGTGTACTGATACTTAAAAAACCTGTATGCATAGAATGAGAGGTTTATGCTCTTAGTTACAAGAAAACTATAAAGTTAATAAAAATTCTGGTTAGCTCTTGTTTGCAAAACTGCATGATTGAACTTGCGGGATGTAGGCAGGCGGCCTTCCAATACTGGTTTAAAATAGCAGAGTAAAACCTGATGTAATTTTGAATGTGAAAAATACTCTGGTAGTCTAAATAAAAAAATAAATGCTCAAAGGGGAGATACTGAGTATGCTCAGTGCTGCTCTACTATGCAGCTCTACCCTTAGATCTACTTGTAATACTCCTACGTACCTAGAAGGAGGAGACCCCAGCCATGCTAAGGCATTGATCTTTTAATTTGGCTACATAATTTTAAAAGATGCAATGAAATCTGTACTGAGATCACAGCCAAGAGGACAATGAATTCGCATAAGATAATGGGGAGAAGAGAAATTCTAATAATTGTGATTCTTTATTAAAAAAAGTGAGAATCGTCCTCTTTGCGAGGAACCACCACTGACCATTAAATATTTACACAGTCATATAAGAACTGAAATACCCTAGAGGTTTTTATTAATCCTTAAATTAATATAGATATCAATCTGTTGATCAGAGAAGCAGGGAATAAGTCTGCAGCGTATTAATCCCATTCTACAGAAGTGAAGCTGAGACATCTAGAGCTCAATCTAGATGTTTTGCTCCAAGTTTCAATCAACAGGAGTTTTTTCCTACTGGAGCAAAGTAAACGGTGACAGTCTCTTGACTTACTGAAATAGAAATCAGCTATTTATGTAGCTATAACTGTTCCTCCAGAACATCAATTTTAACAAAATCTAAACTTCAGAAAATAAGTTAATGAAGAATTAATGCCCACCCTCACTGAGTTTTGATTCCTTCTGCCCTAGAGTTTAAGAAAAAGGCCAGTGATGATTTCCTGCAGGCATCCCAGCTGTGCGCGTTGCGTATGTTGTCATTCGAGTGAGTGAGGAAAGGACAGCTTTGATTGACTTGGTGAAGCTGTCGTTGTGAGGGGACAGTCTGGCAGGAGATGGGTGGGTGCTTCATCGGTCTGACCCCATCTGTGCAGTCAAGAGAAGAAATGGCAGCGTTTGTAATCTTAGAAGATGCTGCATGGTTTTAGTGCCACGTTATTTAGTCAGTGAGGGGTCATCTTGATAACTGAGAGCGTAAGTCTGCAGGTTTAATGGGAGTGAATGGATGAACAGTGACAAATAGCATCGTGCGTGCTTAGGTGAAGGCTTTGTAGAAGATTAACAGTGCTAAAATATACCAGGTATCTGTAGAGTCTGCGCAGTGTTTAACTGTATGGGAAGCGAAGGTATCTCACTACAGTTGAAGGCAAATAATACATGTTGCAGGGATATGAAGCGTACCCAGAGTAGTTATGGACATGCATCTGAACTAGTTGCATAAGGATAGCTAGAAAATGGCTTCTTGTTTGCCGTCTAGCTTGGTGGGATTTTTAGTTTAGTTTGTGATGGGTTTTTTTGTTTGTTAGGGGTGTTCGTTTGCATGTTCCAGTGGATAAGTAATGCTTAACATTATCTTTCTCATAAAATCTAGTACTACCATTTCATAGGTTATATGGGAGGCATTCGGTTTTGTTTTGAAATGTCTTTCATGCAATTCCCACTGATGTTTACTGTAATGTAGTTAACTATGTGTGTCTCAGGGCACTACTGTTTTCAGCCCTGTTGGTAAGGCAGAGAGGATTTCAGTGCCCTGCATATCCTAGGTCATTGCTTCCCTTTATTCCTGTTCTGCTTCTTGGCTGCCAGTTCCACAGGTGAGGTGGGTTAAGCATTAAAAGTAGGACCTTATCCTCTAGACACAGCTGGGACTGATCCCCTGTAATCTCTTCAGTCATCAGTGTGCTTGCTGAACAAACTCCTAAGGTGAACCTCTGGCTAATTAAATGCCCTGTATCACCTCCTGGTTATCAGGAAACCAGGCTAACGTTTCCAGCTGGGATGCATGTTGAGGAGATGAGAGAGAGGTGCAGCTGCTCAAGCACCTCTGTAATCCAAGATGCTTATGTTAGCAACTCAGTAGGAGACTTCAACTTTTCTTTGTTTGCTTTGGATTTTTTATATTTTTTTTACCCTGGAGACATTAGTTAAGTGGGAGAAGTTTTTAGAGTTGTTACTGCTGTTTACTTATTTGAGGCTGCAACCTGGTCTTATAAAAAGGGGTTCCTAATATGTTGTTCAAGTATTGTTCCTTACTCCTGTTTTGTTTTTTTTTTTTCTTTTTATCACAGAAATGATCATACAATCTGAATCTGGCCACCTGGTTATCTGTTGTGTGGCTAAAGGGGTAATTTGGATTATTCGGATGTTACAGGTAGTTCTCTGAGTTTAGGAGAAGGTGCTGGTGGCTAGGAGATTTTCAGTGATGTACCAGGCAATAGAACAAGAGCAATAGCAGCAGGAATTAAAAAAAAACGATTATTCCATAATACAGTAACATGATGGGATAATATAATTCAGGCAAAACCCCTGAAATGCCTTGTTACCACTCTCAGGTGGGATGAAGCAGCTGTTTAGAAAGTGCTGATCTAAAGCATGCAAATATTTGAAGCAAATCTCTATGTAGAGGATGAGAGTGTATGGTCTAAAGACCTCACAGGAAGGACTCAATCCATTGAGAAGTGGTCCTGGCTGTAACTAAGTTCCTTTTTAGAGCTTAAAAGGAGATCTTGGTCTTGCTACCTTCAGCTGCTGCCAAAAAAGCAAGGACAGCCTTTGAGGTAAACGAATGGAGGATTGGTGGCCTCTAGACTGAGGAAAAATTGAAGGAAGGCAATACTTCCTTTTTCAACTCTTCACTCATCCTGAAAATATGAAACAACATCTCCTACATGCTGTAGGCGGCAGGAGTTTATGGGGTTTTGTATGTCGATCCAGCTGCTGGGATTATTGTGGATACTGCTGGAGCTTTTTGGCAAATAAGGTAATATTTTAGTGGTATCAGACCTGAAAATTAATCATTTCATTCAGAAAATTGGAAAAGATTGCCAAATGAGCATTTTGGAATCCAAACTCCAATCATCTTCAGCAAACAGTGCAAACTTTTCTATTTCAGTTTAAAGTTTTGCTTTAGAGATCAGTAGTGTTCACGCTGTTAAGCATGCCTCTGTTCCCATTTTAGCAAAAAAGCAAGGAAGGTATTTGTTCTCTACAGCACGAAAAATGAGACATGCCATGAAATCTGGTGGGAGCTTGGTGTTCCTAAACTCTTCTATATGAAAAGCAGATGAATATTGCAGTGAATGGCAGTAAAAAGCTCACGTCTAAGTGGTGGGATCTGTGATGTCAAACCAGCCTTAACACACACACTGGGATCTAGAGGACTACCCTGAAGCAATTTACCTGTTCCCTAGCTCTGTGCTATTATATCATCTGACCAGTGCATTATTCTACTCTGTTGTTTCTAATCTGACTCTCTTGAAGCATCTCCAATGAGAGTGTTCATGCTTTAAGTATATGGTTGCAAGCTCTGACCAAACCAGTGGTCATCAATTAAGCAAAGACTTTTTCAATGTGAAAAATATTGATGTTGTCTCCTCCTGACATGCTGTTCCCAGTACAGCCTGGCCAAGACACTGTGGCCATCCTACTCCTTTCCGTCTGTTTGGCTACCAATGAAACTGTTTGGCTGCCCCACCTTTCTATTTCTGCCTTTGGAAGGTTATCGTGACTGTTATCCCTGCGCCCCCAGCCTCCCCTCGAGCCACAGCTGCTTCCTTGTTGGAGTGGATGGGTTTGGTAGCCACAGACTGCGTGTGAGGGCTTGCCATGAGAGCGAGTGCTTGGGTATCTGACTTCCTTGGCATTTCTGAAACAGGAAAAATCTGCAATCACGGTAGACTTGGACTTTGTGCAATAGTTGCCGTTTCTCCTGCACAATAGCTGTGAATAGCAGAGACCTGACGGCCTCCTCCTTGGATACCTGGACTCATTTTAGGTTTTCCCATATTCCCAGCTTCTACTTTTTTATTTTTTAAAAAGAAATGCAGAAAGAAGCACTCTTCAGGGGGTGCAAACCTGGCCTACAAACGAGAGAGTACTTAATTCTTGTCTTCTGATCTTACATCCGTTGGACATCTGACTTTCCTGATGTGTCTCCCAGACCCTCTGCCCTCACATTTTCAAACCAGAGGTCTCTTCTGCTCTATGGGCAAATCAGGCAGCCGGGCTGCAAGTGTCTCATAATGCGTGGGTGCCAGCAGCTGGTGCCCTGTGGCCGTGCCGGAGGGACAGGGACCTGCCTCCAGCCAATTCGAGTCTGCCTGCAGGGCGTACAAGGTGGTGGCGTTTCGAACCCAAATGCGTGATGGGAATAAGTTAATTGGTTCGGCGAGTTCCTGGTGAAGGACAAGCAGAATCTGCTAAGGCTTCCTTTTGCCAGTTTTATCTGGCAGATAACTGAGAAATTTCCATGCAACTGTATCAAATTTTGGCAAACACAGCAGCTGCCACCCTGAAGCGTGCTGGCCAGATGCGTTTCGCTGCCTCTTTACTTCCTTTCTTCTCCAAAATAACCCTACTCTGTGGACCATATTAGATACTCCGGGTTATTTGAAACTCCCCAGTAATGATTCAGTCTGGGAGTCTGGCAGAACCTGGGCAGTCCAGTGGAGTCTTAACAATTTTTGTGTTTCTGCTACAGTTTTGGGGTAGTTTCAGCTTCAGATCCCTGCTGTGGCTGGCTCCCTGACTCTTGCACCTGGTCACTTGTGTTTGGGAAGATCTCTTAAAGCTTGTTTTTGTGACAGAAAATACTGAATAGCTTGAGGTATTGAGGTGATTTCACTGTAGTAAAATGCTTTTATTTGCTTGCTAAAAAATCTGTAGGTGTGTAGCTCCCATACAAACCTCCAAAGGACAGGGAAGTGTAAACACAGACCCGTTTCAAATTGATTTGTATTATCTCTTCAATCTCTGAAATCCTTACACATCTACACCATAGCACTGAACTTGAGCGATGTAAAGTGAACTGGATTTTTCCTACTTGGAGGATCTGTAGGTATGAAGACCTGTGTATGAATTTGTATTCAAGGTCCTGTAAAACCATTCATTCCAAAGAAGCTTCCTTTCCTTTCAGTGGAAATTTGAATGTAAATTTAGTATGTTGAATAGACTGTTCTGCTATTTTTTTTTTTTTAAATCAAGTATGTACGATCTCTCTCTCTCTTTTGTCTCAAACAGAGATTCATCCTGCAGTGAAACCCAATGTAATCAGGTCAACACCAAGCCTTCAGAGTCCAAGTGCGAAACGACTGCTTGCACCCTCCAATCACTCTTCATTAAGTATTTTGGGAAAAAGAAACTACAGCCATCATAACGGTCTTGATGGTATGTGAAGGAATATGAAAGGAGTATTCTTTAAGTCTCTGAATTGCAAAACTTTCTGTGGACCTAGGATGACATTAAATAAGGGGGTACAGACCGACAGAAATGTAAAACATGGATAGCATATTTATAGCATTGATTCTTAATGCAATGAATGGTGGTGCTTATTCATTAAACATGGGTATATTAATGAAGTCTCTTACAAAAACTACTTTTAGCATTTTTCTTACTAATCTTGATATAAAAGAAGATATTAAATTTGGTGAAGGCAGAGATGCAATAAATGCTTTATTTTGGCTTATTGCATTGCATTTTTATTTGAAGAAATATTTTGCAGAGATATGCAAGACCTTTTGAATTCTCTGTGTGAAAGTACTTGATATGTAGCTAAATTGCTAAATACTGGACCTGTTAGTTTACAGCCGATGTTTTTGCTAGTATGTGAATTCAAAACACAGCTTGCTTAGTCTGTGGTGATTGGTAATGAAGGGAAAATAGCTTTTGGCATCTTGCGTCTCAAGACCGGTGTCACAGAATCAGTTAAAACAAGTCGCAGTCCTGGCAGTAAGGGTTGGTGGAAGGTATTTGCTCCTTAGAAAGCAACCGCCCCTGGATTTATACCACTCGCAGAGGAAGAGGGAAAAGAAGTGTCACAGAGGTACAGGAGAGGCTTTTCCTGTACACTGTGCAGCGACAGAGGTGATGTTTAAGCCTGGTGTATCCAGCCACTGCATTACAATATGGTGAAAATAGAGAGCAGATATGAAGCTGTGCAAAAAAAAAAAAAAAGATCAAATAAGAGGAGAATCCAGCAGGATATCATTTGTTTGCACTGAAAAGAAATGCATGTGTTCCTGAACTCTCTTTTTGTGAGATGTAACTTCTGTAAGCCCTTATTAGCATAATTGTTCTGTAACTGAATAATCTCGTTGAGATTAGAAATCTGAAATAAGTTATGCTCTGAAATAGACTGTTCAGGACGTGATCTGCACGAAAGAGGTGACTGTTTCCATGCGTCACAGAATAAGTCGAGGTCGAAATGAGAAGGACTCTCCTTTTAGCCAAGCTAATAGAAACAGTATTCCAAATATAGGAAGATAAACTTGTTCCATTATTCATCATCGTCCCATAATTATCATAGTTTTCTGTCATTGCCAATGCTATTTGTATGTTGCAGTGAAAATATCTACTGTACGTTTAATAATACGTAGGTACAATCACTACATACTTTGCCAAGAAGTGGATATTTAGTACAGGCAGAAGAGAGGATCACTTGGGCCTCAGCTTAGTGTGCGACCAGCTGTTACACAGTAGGCAACTAACATGCGCAGTGACACAAGCTATTTGGTGGACTGAGATGACAACCATGTCACTTTTACTTGGCTAAAAAAGATGATGCCGTTAACCAACATAGCCATAAATGCTGAATTTCCACTGTGACTTTTGGGTGTGTGGTTCTGCAGGGATGGTCTGGTAGTTACTGCATGAGAATGTGAACAAAGACTGCTTCCCCCCAGCCTCCACCAGTGCTGGCTGTTACACTGGACTTGCCATATGAGTTTTGAGTGATGAATGACTTTCACCTGGAAATAAAGATGATGTTATATTTTGACTGCAGAGAAGACTGTAGCAATAAGTTCAAGGTAAAAATTATTATGATGATGTCTCTATAAGGAGGCATGCTTGGAAGTCTTTAATGTTTTTCTTCTACTTAGTACGGATTTTCTCTCTTTGTAGAATTGTAGAATGATTTGGATTGGAAGGGATGTGCTGGGTTTATGTGGTGGGGTTTTGGTAGCAGGGGAGGGACTGCAGGGACAGCAGATGCAAGAAGCTTCCCTGGCTCCAAAACCAGTCGGACCAGTCTCTGGCCAGTTCAGACCCCCCTCCCCTCTGGCCAGGGCTGAGCCAGTCATCACCTCTGTGAATGCCCTATTTAATAAGGGGACAAAGGAACTCAAGCAGTGAAGAGAGGGGAGAGGCAGAGGGATGACCTCTCCCAGCCTCTTGGGCAGGCAGCTGCCCACGCTGGACCACCACCATGTGACTGGCGATGGCCACAGCAGCGCGGCTTGGAGAGCTCCGAAGTGCCTCACTCTCGGGGCACCCGCTGGGCAGAGTTCATCCTGCTGGGAGTGCTGAGGTGCGTTGGGCCCAGTGCAGCTGTAGCAGAGAGAGAACTGAGATCTGAGAGGAACGGCTGCATAGACACCAAGGTCAGTGAAAATGGAGCAGGAGGAGGTGTGTCCGAGCTGAGATTCTCCTGCAGCCCATGGTGAGATGGCAGGTGGACCCCCTGCAGCCCATAGTGATTAACAGTGGAGCAGAGATCCATCCGCAGCCTGTGGAGAAACCCACACTGGAGCAGAGATCCTTGTGCCTGAAGGAGTTCTGAGAGGACTGTTTCCGTGGGAAGGACCTCACGCTGCTGGAGACTGCCGGTGGAGCACAGATGCATCTGCAGTCTGTGGAGGACTCCACACCAGAGCAAATGGCTGTGCCCTAGGAAGCCATGACTCTGTGGGAAAGGCCTGTGCTGGAGCAATCTGATGGGTAAGGATTGCATCCTGCGGGAAGGACTCACGTTGGAGAAGTTCATGGAGAACTGTCTCCTGTGAGGAGAGGCCCCACACTGGAGCAGGGCAGGAGTGTAAGGAGTCCTTACCACCTTTAAGGAAGGAGTGGCAGAAACAGCATGTGATGAACTGACCCGCAACCTCCATTCCCTGTCTCCCTGTGCCGCTGGGGAGGAGGAGATAGAGCTGGGAAGAAGGGAGCGGTGGGGGGAAGGTGTTTTTAAGATCTGGTTATGTTTCTCATTATCCTCTCTGAATGAACTGTTGATGAATTAAATGGATTTGTCCCCAAGCTCAGTCTGTTTTGCATGGGGACATGGTTGATGAGTGATTGCTCCCTGTTCTTATCTTGGCCCTCAGGCTTTTTGTTTCGCTTTTCTCCACCCCACCAGGGTGGGGGGAGGAGCGAGTGAGCAGCTGCATGGTGACTTAGCTGCCAGCTGGGCTAAACCACAAGGAACCTTAAAGATCATCTAATTCCAAACCCCTGACATGGGCAGGCACACCTTCCACTTGATCAGGTTGCTCAACAACTCATCCACCCTGACCTGGAACACCTCCAGGGATGGGACATCCACAACTTCACTGGGAAACCTGTTCAGTGCCTCACCACTCTCAGAGGGAAAAATTTCTTCCTTAGATCTAATCTAAATCTACCCTCTTTCAGTTTAAAGCCATTGCCCCTTGTCCTATCACTCCTCACCCTTGTAAAAAGTCCTTCTCCGCCTTTCTTCTAGGCCTCCTTTAGGTACTGGAAGCCTGCTAGAGGATCACTCTGGAGCCTTCTCTTCTCCAGGCTGAACAACTCCAATTCTCTCAGCCTGTCTTTGTAGAAAAGGTGCTCCAGCCCTCTGATTATCAAAAAAGATCATCTACTTTACTCAAATTAAAGAGTTTATAAACCCCATCATTAGCCACACTGATTAGTTTGTATCAAACAGCTAACTATGTTAAGGCAACTTGCACAAAAAAAAATACCTAATTTGAAAAATTAGTATTGAGAACTGTAAGTCATTGCTTTAGGAGATAATTATTTTTGCTTTTTTATTTTCTGTGAAAACATAACTTACTGGAAGGCATATGTGCTAAATAACTGCAATCTGTATTTTGTTAGTGTAAAAATGGTTATTTCGGTTCTTATCCTAGCCCCTCTCTTTAATTAAAAGTGTCAAAAGTGTAAATAAAATGCAAAGAAAAAGCAACAAACCAATAGTAATGATACTCAACAGCACAAGTCCTCTATTCCTTTGACTTCAAACTGATTACCTTTAATATTTACCATTTAACCCCTTCTCTGGTTATTGGTAAATATCAAAGATATTTTTGGGCTGTTATTTATCCAGCTTCTTTTCAGTGCACAGCAAAAACTCAGTGATCAGATCAACTTGAGAAATGGTGGTTTCTCTGTAGTTGCACCGACTACGATGTACTGTTTGTGCAATGAAAGGTTTTGCCAATCTCCAGATTTTTGTGTTATTATAAATGTACTAAAAAGCTTATTTGGTTCCAATATTCTATTTATTGTTGCAGACTTTATTGCATTATATCAATTAACAGTATCTGGCAAGCTAACTATGAAGGTGATGATACATTCTGTCTTTCAGTGCATACTTTGATGAAATGAACAAACAAGCAGGAGCACTGTGGGCTTATATTAGGTTTTATCTCTCCCTATTTTCATAATCTTAATGTTAGTGACATGGAAATGTCTGCATGTTCAGATTTGCCTTTTTCCAACAGTATTAGTAATTTGTTGTAAAGAAGCCATGTAAATATGTTTACTTAAGATATACAATAATTTACAGCATTCAAGTAAACGTCACTTAGGCTTTTGTAAAGGTAAATTTAGATTGGCATTTTTATAAAGTCAGTCTTACTGCCTAGGTGAGTTGAGTGCCATATTTTGACAGAATTTGTTATTAACAAAATAGTAATTATTGGCTCAGAAATAAAGCAATGTAATATGGAAATGACACTTCTTTATGCCTCTGTGGGGGAGTGGGGGAAGATTGAGAAACATCATTAATATCTGGTTTATTGCTTTTAGGAGTAATAAACAAGAACATGATTAGTATTTCTTAGAGAGGTCTTATGTTCACTTGAGTCTTGATTTGGTTCAATGCAGCGCAAGTTTCCCTTCATTTTTCTACAGATACACCTCCAGCAAGTCCGGTGCAACTGATAGGGGTGAGGGAGTCAGTCATTTCTGACTACTATTGCTCAATCTTTCTTGAGAATGATGAGGAAGCACATTTATCTCTCCATAAACAGTGGGGTTTGTGCCCTGATATCTTGCTATTAACTGATCTGAGTGTCAGTCACTGGTGACTGAGAGATGTAGTTATAGTTGTATGCGTGAACCCGTGTATAAGGCATAGACATAAATAAAATTACACTGCTTAAGGCCTTGTGTATTGTAACTTGATA